CTCCAAAGGTTCTTCCCCTGAATGCCTCACACTAGTTCACATATGGTCCTAACATTTTTTTTCTGTTCTTTGTTCCTGGCAGGTTTCTCAAGGTTTCCCAAGGAATGGCTAGCTGGTTGCTATGGTTGGTTCTCCGCCCAACTCTAGAGTCATGCCCAACTGATCTGTATAGAGGTAAATTGATTGGCTTGCAGTTATTGGTCTAAGAATAAGCACTTGAGGTAACAGGTCGATGAAACATGAGAAGTTGATGGAGGCTTCTGAAAAAGTTTTTCCTTCTGGACATGGTCAGACATGAGACCTGAACCATCTCAGATCAGCATTGGAGTAAAGAAGAATCAAGAGAATGGCAGGGACATGGACAAGAGCCACTGGACTCCGTGAACTCTGAAGTCTATTTTTCCACTCAACTTTCAGGAAGAAGAGCTGCTTTTTTGCTTAACAGTGTTTAGATATGTTTTGCTATTGTTGCTTCAACCAAAGGATTCCCAACGGAAACATTCTTCTTTTTGGATCACTCTATAGTATTTGTTTTTCCAAATAAGAGATGCCTTTCTTTCTTGGCTAACTTTCAGAATCTTTCTGACCTTGGAAAATAATCCAGCTCAACTACCAGCTCTTTCCACATAGGCTTCAGCATTCAGGTGACCTTCTGAGTGTGAAATGTCTTTAATTATGATTACAATAATAAAATGAATTTACTCAGTCAAGTAAAAATAACAGAGCATCCACATAGAGAGCACCAATGGGATCTGACCAACTGGGCTTTCGAAGTTTAATGAGGTCTATAGAATCAGAAAGTCCTGGGGAGCACTGTAGGGAAAGGCGTGACATCCAAAGAAAAGACACGTTCATTTAATAAACATGTCGTGAATAAAAGAGAAAGTAGCACTTAGCATTTTAGCACCACTAGAGCAGGTGCTCTTTAAAAATCTTCTCTATAGGCAGTAGAATCCTTATCAAAACAAAGTACTTGGGTGGCTGGAAAAACAGACATGCTGACATTAAAGAAGACAAGAGTCAAAGGGAGGGAGGAAAAGTGAACCCTCCAGCTGAGGAAGAGCATCCTGCTGGGTGAGGGGGCAGGAGGTTAGGGAATGACTTTGCATCTTTCCAAGAGTGTGCAAACTTATTTAACAGAAGAAAACCTTAGAACTCAACATCTGCTACATTTGTCTTAAAAATCAAGTCTCATTATAAAATTTTCTTTTCAAATTATCCCTCTATGCTGAATAGCTTTGAGAACTGAGCAACCCAGGCTGATCTGGGCATTTCAAAACTGAGGATATTTCAAATATTTTAAGGCTTTGATAAAAAAAGATCAGACAGTTGAATTCCTTTATCTGAACTCTAATAGTGAAGGAAAAAGCATATTATAGTGGTTGGATAGTTAGCCTGAATTTTCTAAAATTATTATACTTGCTACCAGCAGCCAGGAAATCAAGAGATGAATTGCACTGAGAAAGTCAGCTGTCAGGGACCTCTCCAGAGTACTGAAGAGCAACGGCATCAGGCTGGAGACTAAGGTGTGCCTGATACAAGCCGTAGTCTCGGCAATTGCGTGCTATGCATCAGAGATGTGGACAATGACTAGGGATGATAGAAAGAGAATTGATGCTTTTGAGCTTGGTGCTGGAGAAGAATATTGAATATACCATGGACTGCAAGGAGAACAAACAGGTTTATCCTGGAGAGGGTGAAACTGGGCTGCTCCTTGGAGGCAAGAATTACAAAGCTTGATCTGACATACGCTGGGCATGTTGCAAGGAGGAACTGGTCTTTGGAGAGGGACATCATGTTTTGGAGAGGAAGGTCCTCAGTGATTGTGGTAATGGGAGAAGGTGTGTCAGAGACAATAAAGTTGGCACAGAATAGAGCAGGGTTTAGGGCTTTTACACATAGAGTCACCATGAGTCGCAAGAGACTCAATGGTACATAACAACAACACAACAGTTTTGAATAGGGAGTTCTAATGGCCTAGTGGTAAGTAGCTGCATTATCAAGCCAAAGGCGTACAGTTCAAATTTATGAGCTGCTTCAGATGAGAAAGATGGGTAATGTCTTTAAATGTAATTTAAACTTCTGAAAACCCTCTAGAGGATCAGCTGTGAATTGATCCTGACTCCATGACATATTACCACAATCTTTAATATTTAAATTTTCTAGTTATTTGAACAAAAAAATGCCTATCTTTTAAAGTGGGTTACACAAAAGAATAACCCACTTTTATAGCCATTCTGCATGTAACTCACCACATAGGTGGTTGTTATGTACCACAGAGTTGGAACTAATGCCTAGGTTGCTGTTGTTTTGTTGTTAGGTGCTCTCAAGTATGAGTATTATTTGACTCAACAGCACCTAATAACAACAATGCAAATGTTAAGTGTTTGTACTCATCAAAGGAATTGGAAAAAAAATTATATTGGTTTGCTTACAAAGTTTGTATAAATTGTGTTTCACACTATTCTTCAGTCACATTGTGTTTCATATAATCATTCTCAAGCATTATGCTTTATAAAATTAATCACCACTAAACCTTGCCCATCATTACCTTGTCTTTTCAGGTCCTTTCCTTCCCATTTGGGAACATAAAAATGAGATGTGTAGACTGCTTCTGGGAACTGGTCAGTTTTGCCATTCTACCAGAGCACGTTCAGAGGCAAAAAGTTGAGAATCTTATTAACATCATGGGAAGAAAAGCAGACAGAACAACACGTTTTTTGGGCCAGAGATTCCTGTGTGAGTTGGAGAGAGACTAACAGTGGCACAAGAGGCACCAGCAGCAGCACCAGCCATTGGCAGCAAACTCAGCAGCAAAGTTGTCAGGGAACCAGACCCTGGGATGAGACAGAGCTGAGGGAGACCTGACGGCTCATGGAACCAATGCCAAGGGGCTTGATCTAGGCTTACTGGTAAAATGAGTGCGGCACATACCTGCCAGAGCTAATAAAGGAGAGAGTCATCAGTCTAGAGATTAAGGTGCACCTAATCCAGGCCATGGTCTTCAAAATTACTTGTTCTGCATCAGAGAGCTGGACAGTGACTAAGGATGACAGAAGAAAAATTGATGCTTTCAAATTGTGATGCTGCAGAAGAGTCTTGAACATACCATGGATGGCTAAGAAAATAAACTGGTCTGTCTGGGAAAAGGTGAAACTAGGTTTCTTCTCGGAGGCTAGGACTATGAAGGTCCTTCTCCCATACTTTGGGCACGGGGACAGGAGGAACTGGTCCTTTGAAAAGGACACCATGTTCAGAAGGGTGGAAGGGCAGAGCAGGAGAGTAAGACCATAGATGAGATGGATTGATACAGTGACTAAGCAATGGGGGCTTGGTGTGTTGGAATCAGTGAGACTGGCTAAGCACAGGGCAGGGCTTAGAGCAGCCATACATAGGGTTGCTATGGTTAAGGCAACATGATGGCACATAACAACAACATCAGTTGCCTGATCATGGGTCAGAGATCAAAGCCATGAAGTAGAGGGTCAGAGGGAGGCCTGCCTGAGAGCACTCCTGAGAAGAAGCTGTCCTGACTGACAATTTATAGCCTCAGAATTTCCAAACTAAATAGTTACTTGTTAATTCCTTAGTAAACTCACAATTGTATTTTCTGTGAGTTCTATTTATCCACTGCAACAAATTCTAGAACCTAGGAGTAGCACAGCTAGACCTGAAGGAAGGAGGGTTAGTGCTAGAAGGGACAGAAGAAGATGTGGAAATGTAGGGAACAGCTGGCTTCATAGAAATGAGGTTTGTGTTGATAGGAGGTTTCTCCTTTGTAAGGTTAGTGTGAATCAGTTACTGACACTTCCATGCCCACCACATGGTTTTTATAGACTGTAGCTCAATTTGTGAAAAGTAATTGAGATTGTTGTTGTTGTTATGTGCTGTCAAGTCCCCTGAGACTCAAAGCAATCCTATGTACAACAGTTCTAAACTCTGTTTTATCTTGTGCCAATCTCTTTGTCTCTGACACACCTACGCTCATTACTTCAGTCACTGAATCTATCCATCTCATAGAAAGTCTTCCTCTCCTGTGCTGTCCATCCACCCTCCCAAGCATGATATCCCGCTCCCTCCTTGTAACATGTCCAAAGTATGTCAGGTGAAGCTTCAGACTCCTTGCCTCCAAGGAGCAGCCTGGTTTCACCCTCTCTAGGACAGATGTTTGTTCTCTTAGCAGTCCATGGTATATTCAATACTCTTCAACACCACGGCTCAAAGGCAACAATTCTCCTTTTATCATCCCTAGTCATTGTCTAGCTCTCTGATGCATAGCAAGTGATTGCAAAGACGAGGTTTGTAACAGGCGCACCTTGGTCTACAGACTGACATCATTGCTCTTCAGTACTTTGGAGAAGTCTCTAACAGACTTTCCCAACGCAATACATCTTTTAATTTCCTGGCTGCTGGTGCCAAGAATGTTGATTGTGGAGTCAAGCAAACTAAATTGAGGTATCAGTCTACAAAAACCGCATGGTGGGCCTGTAATTGTCAGTGACTGGTGGGGTAGATGTGTTGGAGACAGTGAGACTGGCTCAGGATTGGGTTGGGTCAAGTGCTATCGTATATAGAGCTGCTTTGAATCTCTGGCAACTCAATGGCACATAACAACATCAACAAACTCTGTATTAGGCTTGATACATTAAGTTCTTACTGTTGCTGCTAAGCCAGCTTTGAAATAGGTAAAAACAAAACAGTATGTCCCAGAAAAGAATAATCTTTTATAAAGATGAATGGATGACAAACAGGCTGTGGATAATTTCACAAAACAAACAAACAAAAAATTCTTAGTGTAAACTTCATTTGTCACAATAATTATCAGCTATAAAACTGAGTCTCACTGGCTCTATTTTCCTTAGGATGTCCACAGATTGGACTACTCTGAGATAATAATCAAGGGAGGTTTTGGACATTGTAAAAAATAGAGAGAAAAGAAGCACCAAATGAGATGTTACTGTACAATCCATTTTGAACTGAAACCAGGAACTTTTTCTTACCATCATTGGAACCAAAGCTTCCATCGACGGATTTTCTCTGAAACCTGTGAAGAAGCACACACACATGCTACTTAGGAAAACTGTTAGCAGTAATCATGCGTTGCCTGCAGATTTTGCCTTCCAGTATCTCTTAAATGCAGGCCTTTGTGTATGGAGAAACGGAACCTCTAGTACTGCTAGTGGGATCTGTAAAACGGTGCAGTGACTTTGTGCTGGAGCTTTAGAGATGTGGACATCTTTGGTGCTCCATTATCTTGTCTGTCGCATCATTTACATAATAATAAAGTCTTCTAATTTATGTGTATGGGACGTTTACCCATTTGTTTAGGTCTTCTTTAATTTTTCAGTGATGTTTTGATTTTCTTTGAACAAGTCATGTTAAATGGATTCATACATATTTCATCATTTCTGATACCACTGTAAATGACTGGAAGGAAGAGTGGCATCCACTTCCATAACAGCTTGCCTCCAGAAACCCTATGAACCTGGAGAGAGGAAGAAAGGCACCCAAGCGTTGAGAACTCTCCTTCATAGGGTCACTATGAGTCACCTGCGACTCGATGGCACTTAACAACAACAACAACAACTGTAAATGAATTGTCCAGATTTTCAGTGCTTACATACAGTAGGAGAATTATTCTGTATACTAATATCTCACAGGACATAATCTTTGAAGTTACTTTCTATGTATCAGAGAGCTGGACAATGACTAGGGATGATAGAAGGAGAATTGATGCCTTTGATCTCTGGTAGTAGAGTACTGAATATACCATGGACTGCTAAGAGAACAAACAGGTTTATCCTGGAGAGGGTGAAATCAGGTTGCTCCTTGGAGGCAAAGATTTTGAAGCTTCACCTGACATACTTTGGACATGTTGCAAGGAGGGACCAGTCCTTGGAGAGTCATGCTTGGGAGGGTGGAGGGACAGCGCTGGAGAGGAAGACCCTGGATGAGATGGCTTGATTTAGTGACTGGGGTAAAGGGAGTAGTATGTCGGAGATAGTGAGGTTGGCACAGGACAGAGCAGGGTTTTGGGCTGTTGGACATAGGGTTGCTATGGGTCGCAGGTGACTCGATGGCACATAACAACAACAATAACAACAACAACAAACATCTCACAAACTTTTGGAATTTGAATGATTAACTATTCTGACATTAGATAGTGATGGTTGCACAGCTCAGTGAATATACTTGAAACCAAAGAGCTAAGTACTTCAAAGGGGTATATTTTATGGTATGTTAATTATATCTTAATAATAAACTGTTATTAAAAATATTAAATGTTAAACTATTATTTAAAAATATAAGTGCTAGTAAGCTTATTTTAAAAATAGGTACACCACTTGGTAATGCCTATTAACAATGAAAGCGTGCATTATTATCTTCTTCCAGAATCTCTTCTCATATCCTTTTGGATATGAGGTTGAATATAATGGTGGAGGAGAGCTGGGGCACCAAACACATCAACGTTTTGGTGTAGGCTCTTACTTCCAGAGGAAGGGATCAGAAAGCCACACACTCGTAGAACTAGCTAGAAGAATTTTTCTTCATAATTATCTTTGATTCTTTGTTGCACGAAACTTATCCCTGTCCTGGGATTTTGCTCTTGCAGGTCTCTGCCTCAGCCCTTCTGTTTTCAGAGTCTCACATGGCTGGCTCCTCCTTATCGTCTGGACTTGAGACAGAAAGGTTTCCCCAAACCTCACTTAGCCTCCTCAATCCAGTTATTTCTAGAATATTATTGTGCTTTCTCTTCATGTTGCTAGCTGAAAAGAATTTGATTAATTTCTTACTTGCTTATTATTTGTTTCTTCTCTCTAAAACATATGCTCCAAACATAAGCTGGGATCTAGAAAAGCCTGTTCACCACACAGCACTGTTAGCCCCGAGGGCAGTGCCTGCCACACTGTTGGGTTAGGCGCTGTCCAGTTCACTGACTCATAATGACCCTGTGAAAAATAGATCTAAACCTTGCCGATCCTGTGCCATGCTCACTCTCTCCACTGCACTTAGTAGACTCAATATTGTGTCACTGGGTAAATCCACCCTATGTGCCTGGCACACAGGAGCTGAAAATGAAGTATGTGTCAGGTGAACAAGGCATCTGTACTCTTTCTTAATGTCAGAAAGTCAGATTAGCTTTTCTCTCCCCAACCACCCGAGCAGTTAGAATTTGGCCTGTTCTAACTGGCAAAGTGGGCTCTAGTATCTTTTGTAGCTATTTTAGTGACAAGAAACAGTGTGAACTCATATAAAATGATCTACTGGGATAGTGTGTTCGTATTTACAAGCATCACCCACATCTGCCCTAGATTTTGGAGTCAATAAACTTCTTCAGTTAGAGGATGTGAACAATTACAAAGTTAGGGTGAGAAAGGAAATATCCAGAGGGAAAAACAAAATTAGAACTGTGCTAGAGTCTTTGCAAAAATGACTATAAGCCAAAGCAGTCATTTGGGAGAGGGTTGGATTAAAAACTAACGGTGCCTCATTTTGTAACTAGTACCTTTGGTCAAAAGACAGAGTTCATGTCTTCCCCTTTTGAAGGCAGACTGACTTTGTAACTTACTTGGTCAATTGAGTAAGGGGGAAGTGATAATATTCCAGTTCTGAACCTACCGATTGGGAAGATGTGTAGTATTCTCTGGTTTCTCTCGGTGGAACAATAAGCCTGAGCTAGTCTGTTACAGGATGAGAGACCAAATACAACCAACATGTTACAGTAAAGCTAGTCTATAGTTAACCCTCCAGCTGATGGTACTCACAACTGTGCCCAGCTGACCTTTAGACTTGTGATCAAACGGAAATCTTTCTTGCTGCAGCCCAATGGACTGTGTGTGTGTGTTTAATGTAGCATTATTGTGATATGGCTAATAAAAGAACCAAAGGGAAAGAAGAGTACCCAGAATGGGCATTTTTAACTCAATGTCTAACAAGGTAGATGAGAGGCCTAAATAAGAAAACAAGTGTGTGATGCTAGGCCCTGATTGCTTTTTGACTTTTTATAAAGAGACCAGAAATCTTTCTATAGGGGACTTGTGGTTGGGTTTGAACTGCCAACCTTCCAGTTAAGAAAAGTTGAGTGCTTAATTGCTTGTGGTGCTTAAAGGTTTCTTTTTTTAAAAAAACCAAACAAAAAACAAAACAAAAAACCCCCAAAACAACCCAACAGACTAACAAAAGGCATTGAGGGCCATAGAGTCCGAATTGACTCAGAGCAGATCCTCCAGTGGGTTTCTGGAGCGAATGGTGGATTCAAACTGTGAGAGAGGTGTCTGTCACCTTTGGGTTAACATTGCAACTCCTTACAAACTCTATCACCAGAGCTCCCACCCAGGGGCTTGACTCAACAAATGCTTGTTGAGTAGATTGGGCCTTGGGGGAAAAAAGAATTAGGGATACATACTTTTGGTTCAGGCCCGTTTAGCACAAAAATACTCTGGATGCTTAGCTCCCTGAGGGTAGGTTGTATCTCTTATCGATGTTTTCATCTTGATTTTTTCACATGAACTATAAAACCCACATGCATTAACAATAAGTAAGGGTTTTATTGTAAATATAGGCTTGATACTGACAGATCATGAGGATGGTGTAAGATAGAGCAAGGTTTTGGTCTGTTGTTCATAGGATAACTATGAGAGTTAGTCTACTCCAAGGCACCCAAGGTGAAAAGAGCAATAATACTTTAATTTTAAAAAGTTAATTATGCTATGAAAAAGCAGCCATACTTGACAATTGGCTCTTTCTTTTGCAGTATACAGTTCTTTAATATATTAGTGGTCCATTTATTCACAGTTTCTGGGTGGTACAGATTGTTAATGGTCTCATCAAAATGTTGACATTTTAAGTTTACTTAGAGGTACCTTGGAAGAAAAGCCTGGTGACTCTGCTTCTGAAAAATCAGCCACTGAAAGCCTGATTTTAGGAAATCCACTGCTTAAATCAATTCCTCCAAGTTTTTGAGGCTGTATATCTTTATAGGAGGAGACTGCCCATCGTCTTCCAAGTAGCTGGTACATTCAGATTAATAGATCTTTAGGGTAGCCTCAAAACATGTAACACACTTGTCCACTGAAACTCTTTATTGAAAGGTGTAGGAGTCCCGTTCTACTTTGACACACACTGGTTTGCCATGAGTTAAAATGGACTTATGGAACTGGTGGTGTGGTAGAATGTTTTACTAATGAAAATGTAAACCTGAAAGTAGAGTTAACAATCCTTAACATTTATTGTACCTTTTTTAAAAAAGCATTTTTAATAGTAAAATCCAATATGTGCTATGTAACTTGCTATTTCTGTTATAAACAGTTTTTGGGACCATTTCATGTTCTATTTGTATGCAGAATGGTTAGTTGTTAAATTAGTATGATGTTTATAGTAGCAATCTTGTTGGATTAGAATGATGGTGATAATTTTT